TACCAAGGTATTTCACCTCTTCAGAGAAGTTTAGTTTGCTTTTGAAGATTTCTGGAGGTTTTAAGCCCGTTAAACTTCTTTTCCTGGTGAAAAGGACCATCTCAGTCTTCTTGGGATTGATCGACAGAGAGTGTTCCTTACACCATGTTTCTATTAATTTGAGCCCATCCTGCGCTCTATCGCAAAGTGTGCTTACAAATTTGCCGGTATGCAAGATAACTATAGCTTTATCTAATATATTCTATCACTAACCAGCATCAGCGAAATAATGTTCATAATCACATTCATTACATTTGCTGATATCATTAATGTAAATTAAGAATAGCAATGGCCCTAAAATACTTCACGGCGGAACCCCGTGGTCTACGCTTATTGCTGTTGAGACAAACTCATTAATTTTGATTACCTGCTTCCTTCCTGTAAGGTAATTACTGATCCAATAAAGTACTTTTCTTTTAATGCCATATTTTTCCAATTGATATTTTAAGATTAACCATTTTAAAAGCACGTTTAAGATCTAAAAATACTGCCACAGTGTAGATGCTGTACATGCTGCAGTGTATAGAAATTGTTACATTGTTATAGCGAATCCCAAAAAACTTTTTGGGCACTTTTGGATACGAAAATTTTTTTAATACCTCTTAGCAATACTTTCCTCAATAAATTGATTTTTGGTAGGTTTTCTATAAGTCATCATTCTCTGAACAAATCTCCTCTTTATCTTATTTTCCTCTTTGATTATTTTCTCTCTAGTGTAGGTATCTTTCTCAAATGCTGCTCGCTCTGTAAACCATCTCCTCATATACTCGTTAGACATTAAGAGCCCCATATGTTCACGTGGCTCCTACGATATGAATATGAAAAAAAAAATCGAAAATTAAATGTTCACTGATTTTACATTTTCATATGATGGTTTGAACCCAAGTAAATTCTTTTCTCTAGCCTTCGAAGATATGATATTATCTTGTTTTTTAACAGGTGTAGCTGGTGACCACTTCAGTAAAGCTGCACTTTTCATTTCTGAATTATTTATATGGGCAAACAACAAAACTTGATAAAGATATTGTGTCCACTTGACTGACAATTTGATGACAATCACTGTTTCTGTGGCAACAGTATTAGAAAGTGAATTGATGGATGTAGCCGTGGTAGGAAATCATCATGAAAAAAGAGAAATGAAACTTTTTATGTTTTTCACCACTTCTATTCATAACTAACGTTACTGCGGTTTCGTCCTATAAGAACATTTGAAACTTATACATTAAACTGAAAATGTCTTTATAGGACGAAACTACAGTAACATTAGTTACAAATAAAAGTGGTAAAAAACAAAGCAAATTTCATTTCTCATTTTTCAGTATTAAAGAGGATGATTCAACTTGACCAGAAGAATACAGCTGTTTTTTTTGGGTAGATAGATAGATATTTATTTAATCTCTTATGGTTGCAACATGAGACAAGTCATAGTTCATAAATAGAAGAAATACAATAGTTATTAAAAATCAATAATTTATGATGAAATTCTCACGAGAATTACAAAACTTTAATCAGCTGCAACGTAGCCCAATCACAGACTAGATAATACCCCACTGAAGGTGTGTACATAGTGGTAATACAATGCGAAACTTTAAACGCATTTTTCGCAAAAACTTGCTTTCGTACATTACCTTTTTTCGGCAAACACCACATATTCATTATGATTTTAAATTCATTCACCAATAATCATCTACCACCTATCAGTAATGTCTCCATTGACAGCTGAGGACGATAAAAAAAGAAAAAACTGAGGACGATGAAAAAAGAAAAAACCTCTTTCAAATGCATTGTAAAATTATAAGAAGCTGTTACTTATCCCCAATAAAATCCAAACACTTTCTCTGGTTGGGTGGTTGCAACCTCTACAACTGAAGGGAGAACTGTAAGGTGAGACCTATTGCATAACAGACAATAGAGGAAACAATCATACCTTAATCAAATTCTCAACTAGTGGCTTGGTTAGAATCTTATTCATTTTTATTTTTTTAATATTTTTTCATCATTTATTTTCATGTTTCATTTTTGGTTTAGCATTATTATTTTGTTGTTTGTAATTGGCTGTTTCAAAGGTTTTCTCCTTTTTTATGTGTTGTTTTTTTGTAGCTCCATATCTCAATATATATTGATTCCACTCTGTATTGGTATATATTGATCGATAGAGTTTTTTACTTTTTACATTGAAACTGTTCATTTTTTTTTACTATTACACCATTTTCAAAACTATTACACCATTTTCAAAACTGAAAATGGTGTAATAGCCGAAACTAGTCAACAATAAAGAAATATCATGTAAAATAGACAAAAGTGTGTTTTGTAGTGTATCCTCAGTGAACATGAATTTCCACAAAATAAACAAGTAGTCAATCAAAGAAATAGTTCTATTACCTCTTGAGGAGGTATTGGCTTTGCTAACATTGACTCAAAATTATATTTTATTGAACATTCGAAAGAAATATTTGGGAGGTTTGATATTAATTCTGGAACAATTTTAATCAAGTATTTGTTAGTCATTCACAATTTTTTCTGGATCCACTTGTATTTGACATTCGGATTTTTTTCTCTCTTCCTGTTAATTCAGAGATTATTGCCCATATACATTTATTTTTATTATCAGAAGTCTTTATTCTGTTCAAATATTCATCTTCTTTAAATTGTCTCAAGCGATTATCATATTCTTTTTTCACCTCATTATATTGGTGCCGACTTACTTTACATATAAAATTAACATTGGCATCCAAAGTGCGTTTCCATTCAGCAATTTCATTATTGTTGAAATATTTACAAATTCAAATTGAACCAAAGCGCTGCCAAAACAGCCAGAAATAGTAACCAGGCAGTAACATTTCGAATTCAATGTCATGGGGAGCTGCAAACGAGTTCAAAATGTTGAGGCTTCATCAAAGAAAAACAAATTCAACTTCTTCACTAAAGTGTTATTGACGTCGATATTTATACTAGTAAATTTTTCTTTTGATGAATTTAAAAAGTCTCATGCTTTATTTTGTTTTTCATGAAAAGAAGAAGCATATCAGACGACCAAACTAAGAAGTTCTAAATTATGGTGTTAATTTTCATAATTTCGAAATATTATTCTGTAAAAAAGTAGGTGCATATAAAGTAGTGAATGCATCAGGTAGAACTTTTCCTATTCAATGTTATAAAAATGATTTTACTTTTGTTTCGTTGCCAAAGTTATCAACTGCTAGTCATTATCCTCGTGTTCTAGGTGGGACTATTAATAACCCCTCAAGCCACCTATTCAGTCAAGAGTCAACTAACTAAAAAAATTATCTTGAGAGTAATACCTGGTTGAAGTTGAGTTTGAATATTATTTATATTGTTGTGAAAACACACCATGTGCCAGGAAGAAAAATAATTTTCTCAGTCTATAAATCTTTATTACTTGAGGTAATATCGTACAATATACAGGTTTCGTATAACAAACTGTGCCACTTTCCATCTGACAATGAAAATTAATAAGTTATGGCTCGAGGATATCCACGCTGATGCGAAATATAAGAAAAATTCATTATTATTAGTGCTTGTATTACTAGCAATTACCAAAATTTAGCATAAACACATCTCTTTGATGCACTGGAAACAAAAAAGGATTAGCCCTTCATAAGAACTTAAAATAAATACTATAAACAAGTTACAGAATGAGAAGGAGTATGCTACTAAAATGCTGGAATGTACATAGCACTTTAAAATTAAAAAATTTAACTGAACTGGAAGGAAAATCCGCCAGGAAAGCCACCAAATCCGAATTCTTGACCGTGGTGTCCTCCGCCGCTGAAGAAAGTTTGGAAGACCTGGGTGGGGTCAATATCTGAAAATTGAATTGAATTTATACGAATATTTACCAGCACAACTGCATCTTGAAATCATTTCATTTAGGATCACATACATTCAGCTAACCGAAATTTTTCAGTAAAAATGGGAAAGCCCTTTTTCTTTGTATTATCTATTTTGCTTTCTATCAGACATTTTGAAAATCAGAAATCAACAGTTTATGATCCAATGACCACGATTTTTTCAATAGGCTCCACTCATATGTAAACTGCTTAATATGTATTTCGAATCAGGAGTATTCAAAAATATTCAAACATTTTCAAAGTTACAGGTATTCAAAGGTGGAAAAAATATTCAACGAATAATACTAGGCCAACTTCCTTACTTACCATATTTTCAAATATTTTAGAAAGTTATGCATGAAAGGCTTTCACCATATTTACAAAAAATGAAATTTCTTTATGATTGGCAACATGGCTTTCACAGATCTAGTGATACAGAGTCTATAGCTTTTGAATTAATTACTAACATACAATCAAAAATAGATTAAAATTACAAGTGTGAATTTTTATAACTAGATCTTTGCAAAGCTTTCGACACAGTAAATCATTACATTTTACTTGAAAAATTAAAAAATGTTGGTATAAAAAATACCTAAAGTTTTCACCTGGTTTCAAAATAATTTGTATGAAAGAAAACAATATGTACAAATCAGCGAATCAAATCACAGATGAGAAAAATTTCATGTGGGCTACCTCAAAGATCAATTCTTGAGCCTACCCTTTTTCTCAATTATATAAACTCGATTTCGAAATCAAATTTAAATGGTGAATTGGAATTATTCGCAGGTGACACAAGTCTATTTTGATAAAAATGTAAGTGAATTGAAAAATGAAATGAAAAATGATCTTTGTACCATTTCAAGAAACTAATGACTATGACACAAGTACACCTTTCTCTTACAATGATAGTAGAATTGAATATACAAAAATCAAAAAATTTTGATTTTGTCATTACTACACATATTCAAAATCTGAAAACAGGAATTTTATATAAATTTAGATTTGTCTTATCCTTAAAATATCTGAAAACTATTTATTTCTCTTCACTTCACTTAAACCATTCATAAAATTACGACCTTATGTCAGAAATGAGTTGAATCTACTAAAGTATTTAATGACTTTCATTACATAAGTAATGACATTCATTATGTATGGTCATTGTTGACATGCCATTACGTAAATTTATTCTGAACCTGTAAAATATATGAGCTCTGTACTAAAGAAAAACGTTAATTTTACTTGATATGCAAAATATATAAATAATTCAAGTGAAGCAGTAACTTTTCAATAAAAAAACCTCAATTTATCATCCATAAATTCTTTCTATTCAAAGAATCATTCGGTCAAATCAATCAAGATTATAATTTCAGAAAATTTGCCCAGAACAGAACATTTTCACCAAATGTTCACTAAACGACATTATTAGCACGTTGCAGAATATTTCAGGGTGAACGACAATCCATTCAATACCTACGCAAACGCCTACCTTTTAAATTTACCGTTCTGTTAATGAGACAACAATAAATATTTAGATCCCACGAGGTCGTTATACCAACACAATGACCACTTTTTTCGTGTAACCTGTTTCATGCCGGTCATGAGCGTAAAATATTTGGAAATGACTTGAGAATGAATCATGAATTTAAAGTGAATCATTTTCACCTTTAATGAGTAAGACAATTTATTGAAACTAAGACAACAAAGAAATTTTCATACAGCCTTTGACCTTGACAGTTCCATTGAGAAATGATGTGTATTTTTTTGTCTGAACATTTTTCTATGAAGATCAGATTTATCAAATGTTTTCATAAAAAAACATGAATGCTTTTCACTTTCCACTGTTTTTCACAAAAGTGAGAAAATGGTTTACCAGGGTTACCTGCAACCACCTAAACATTAAAAAATTGAATAACTAAATAAGTTCAGAAGTGGCCTGAAAAAAACTTTTCTTCCTTTGTCCATTTGGTTTTGTAACATTACAAATGAGGTCAGGAATACTTACCAGACATTCCACCATCGAAATCGTCCATGTCTTGCCCATTATCATACCTTGACCGCTTCTTAGGATCCGATAAGATACCGTAAGCCTCGCCGACCTCCTTGAATTTCTTTTCTTGATCTTTTTTCTCGCTCTCACTCGCACTCGCATGGCGATCGGGGTGGTGGACAAGCGCCCTCTTTCTGTAAGCTTTTTTGATTTCGTCATCCCCAGCAGTTCTGTCAACCCCAAGAATTTTATAATAATCCTTCCGTTTGGATTTTTTCAGTGCAAATTTAGCATCCTGTAGTAATTTTTTGTTCTCTCGGCTCTTGTCCATTTTACAGACCTTCTCGTAATCCCGAACAGCTTCCTCATATTCACCCAGGTCCATGTAGCATTTTGCTCTTCTCAGGAGAGCTTTCAGATATGTTTCATCCAAATTGAGAGCTGCTGTACAGTCTGCTATGGCTTCGCGTGTTTTTGTCAGCCTGGAATAAGCTGTTGCACGATTGAAGTATAGTTTGGAATTGGTTTTCTTGTTGAACGGATCAATTTCAAGGGCTTCAGTGTATAATTGGCAGGCTTCCTGCAAGCGTAACAATTTTGGAGGAATTTTTACAAATTTGTGATTTTTTATGTTACTTGAATTTTCACCAAAATGGCGAAGAGATTGTTCATAAAATTAAATTCACATTTTATTATTATGTTTAAGTTCTAATAAGATTTTAAAGTAAAAAATTCCAATTTATAAATACCTGAAAACGGCATAACTTGTAGGCTTCATTGCCCTCTTCCTTCTTCTTTTTCAATAGTTTGGCACGCTTGTATATATTCATTGCTTTCTGGTGGTCAGGTGCAAGTCTCAAGACTTGCTGAAAATGTTGGAAAGCACTGTCTAAATTGTCCTCGTAAAATAAACATATCCCACGAACGTAAATAGCATCAGCATTGCCTTTGTTCAAATGCAAAATACTGTTTGCAATTTCCTGAGCTTCTTGATATCTTCCAAGAAATGCAAGACATTCTGCTTTGGTGAGCTTATAGCGATGACAAGAAGGGGCCTCGTCTAAGCAACGATCCATACAGTAAACAACTTTACGGTAGTCATTTTTCTCATAAGCTTTAGTGGCCTCGCTTTCATTGTGCTTTAGTTTTTCCAAAGACTTTATCTCACTGGTGATTCCTACAATAGTACCAGTTGAAAAAATTACCTTATATCACCTATTGTCAAAATGGTTGGAATATGGAGTATGACAAACATCATCACCTCCACACTGACCCCTATGAAATAGGTATCAACTAAAAGGGCTCTTCATAAGCAAAACACAATAATCAAAGTAACGTTTTTATAAAACCAATATGGGGAACCGCCCAAGACTAGTTTTTCTAATGCATTCCTATAACAAGGTTATGAAATAAAAGGGTTTGCTGAAATTATGAAAAATGACATGACATTACTTTAAATCCAATATGGCAAACCGCCCAAGATGGTGACCATAGTACAATTCCATAATAGTAGACTCTAAATTCTCAGAAATATCATTTCAATATAACGAAAACATTGTCAAGGTTGTGATTCTATAGATTTTATCATCATTTTTCCTCATATGTTTAGTTTTCTGTAAGCCACTGCAAGAAACAGATTAAGGCAAAAACGTCAGTCATTTCTAATAATTTAGTACCTACTATTTTAAAATTATAGTATAGTTATTTGTTCTGTATCAAATGAAAGGGTTTTGGAAAATAAAAAAATCAAATGAGATCACTATCATAAACCTATTATGGTGGACTGTTTTTATGCATCTCCGTGATATGAATATCAAATAAAGGGATTCAACGGGAAAAAATTGGCAGAAAACAAATTTAAAGAGTAATAATAGTTAAACAACGATTGGTATGGTTTCGCGGTGCTTCAACAAATGGTGGAGAATAAACCTATCAACAATGACTCATTAAATGAAATGAACAAACTGAAAAACATGTCCAACTTTATATGAAACAATTAATTTAAAGTAAATAAATTGAAACATTTTTGAAAATAAGTTTTCATTTGTATGCTCTAAAAAGTAAAAAAACGTTGAAATAAATCAGACTCATCAATTCACTACATTACAGAATTTATATGATATAAAAGCTTATGGAAAGATTCACCTGCATACATAATCAAGTATACAATATGTAGTTTGACCTTGAGACAAATAATTATAGGGAAAAATTATATATTTTTATAAAATAGCTAAATCTCACAAGCTTTCAATTCATATAAATTGTGTAACGTAATGAATTGATAGATTTGATTTAATTTAAAGTTCATTTCATTTATTTCAGAGCATGTGAAAAACTTATTTTTAAAAACTTTTTTAATATTAATTTTACAATACATACTCTGAAACAATTTAAAAAGTGTTCTGCCCATGAAATACTCATTTACATACCTATATCTGAATAAAATTGTATTCTTATACCATAAACATTTCTGTTTCTCAAGAGGGTAACAAGTTTCCGTTAAACAAAATTCAACAAAATTCACTAATCACTTGAATAAAAATCATTGATATTCAATAAAAAGAACTGAAAATACCAATTGTTCTTCATAGTAATAAATGAATATTTGATGAGCTCTACCACAATTTCCAAAAAAAAATGGGGGTTATACAAAATTTTAATAAAGTCCTAATGTTGGGACAAGTTTCAACATGACGTGAAATTTATTTTGAATCAATATTGTTTTTAAAAACATGGTCGTCTTTATTCCTACCGACAAAATATAAACTATTTCCAAAAAAATAACTAATGAAATCTTGCACACTTGAAATCCACCTAAATATTTTGACAATCATTCTTATAAATGTTTACCAGCAAACATACCTGAACCATCGGGCTGAAGTTCTTGAGTTTTCTTTATTGCATACTCTGCAGTCATGAGATCTCCCAATGCTATGCTGCATTTAGCCATTCTGATGTAACCTCTGACGAACCGGGGGTCTAGCTGTATGCTCTTTCTGGCATCTTCCATGGCGTCCTCATACCTGTTCAACATGATGTAGCAAGCTGAGCGGTTGCCATAGTAAGCTGCTGTGTCTGGACACAAATTGATGGCTTCAGTATAGAGAGGAAGTGCTGATCGATATTGTTTGATTTTGTAGAGCTGGTTGCCGTTTTCTTTTTTCAGCTCTGCCATTCTGAATGAATGAATGAAAAAAAGTTAGTAACAAATATCAATCAAAACATACGATGTTATAAGTCTCAGAGTTGTTTGTAAATGGAGCAAAAACTGACTGGCTATTGTAGTAGTATGAATAGTGTTCAAAACCTGTTTTAAATATAACCTTTGAAGAGTCAGTTGAAATCTTAACAACATTCACTACTTGATCATTTTAGAGGTACTTATTTATAATTTGACCTGCAGATTAGGTTGATCTATGAGAATTTTATCGAGAATCTAAATACATTATATTACATAACTATATTTGGTTTTCATATTTGTAGTTTAGAACAGGAAATACATTCGAAACCAGAATATATCAAGGGAAAATTTATTGAAAATAAATAAAACTATTCAAATCTGTTTCTTTCCTTCAACAAAACAGCTTTCCACTTGAAATGGTCATAAAACAAGGATATACATCACGAACTCTTTTAAGAGCCAGATCTAAAAGCTACTACAGTTTTTGGACATTATGAAAAGTCTGATCCGTTTCTTGGTGAAAATTATCAACACTATCCATGAGAATAATTATAGAATTTACACAATAAATTTTATTCAAAGACTCCTTTCGCTACATGGTAGCTTTATTAGTTAATGGTACATCAAACTATTCTACAATGTATTTTATATAACAGTAAGTAATTACAAAAAGTATTATATAAATGCTTAAATCTGGTAAATGGATTTGTTTCTTTCAAAATCTACCTGTTTTACCAGGTTCAATCATTTATCCAATAAGTTTTGACCTTACCTACTGATATATGAAATCGTAGTTTGATGTACAAGTAACTGATGAAGTTACCGTGTAGCGAAACGCATATTAAAAAAAATTATTGTGAAAATTCTACAATTTTCATCATGGATGAAAACTCTATTGTAAATTCCTCATTAAAACAAGATGTTGATAAAATATCAATGACATAAGTTATAACATTGAAAGATATAATATACTTGATGTGAAATATAATATACATCATGATAAAAGGATGTGGTTTAACATGTTGTCAACAATCTTATCAACAAGGGGAAAAATAATAATCAGCAGTTTCTGAACAATAATATTTCCAAATTTTTTTACATAAGTTTTCAAAACAAAATTGTTTTTAAGTTTACTTTTTAAAAAAACGAATCTTTTTAGGAAATTTACATCAAATAAAAAATTGTAAAACTTGGAACATGGGAAACCTAGGTACCTAGTGAAAATTTGGATTATTATTAGCTCGGATGATAAATTTAGCCCGTTTTTTTCAGGAAATGTGAGAATGCTCCCACAAAGAAGAACCAGTAACGTCCTTGACATTTGCTTGCATTATTTAAGATTTAGCTATTGATAGACTTGTAATCCACTTTTTAGTTCATGAAATATCAAAACAAAGGACCCGTAAAATGACACATAATCGATTTGTGATTTTTGGGTGATTATTTGTACTTCAATAAAAACAAATTACGAGTACTCACTCTTCTGTACTTTTTGGAATGATGTCCTCATTTTCATCAGAATCCATAATAACTTCCTCTTCTACGTCCACCATTTTTAAACCGAAGAGAGTAGTGAAACTAGTGAAAGACGAAAGACTGAAGGATTTTGACGTATGACTTGTTTTCTCTTCTGCGCATTAAAATACGGGAAAAATAAAGAAAAATCTTAACTCACATGTTCTCATAGAACATCCAGAACAGAATTATATCGCAGTATTGCCGTTCTGTGAAAAAAACGACTCTCTTTAGGACATTGCTACCTAAAATAAAATTTACATCAAATGAAAAATTTTAAGAATTGGAACATCATTTGACATTATGAAAAACTTAGCTAGCCAAAATATGGATTATTATTAGCTGGGATGATAAATTTAGCTAGTTTTTTCACGAAAGTGGGAATGCTTTCTTGAAACATTCGCACCTCTATGATTTGTTACACGCAGAACGAGAAACAGATACATGGAACGAATGGGTTCAAGCTGAGGTCCTATTATTGAATCATTTACAGTTTTGTGTACTTATACGTAGTTCTATACGTCGTTCTATAGTTCTATATGTCTATACGTAGTTATATAATTCACTGGCATTTTATACATATCAATAGCACAAAATCAAATGACAGGTGCCCTACACTTGAATATGTAGTTCTGTGAATCGGTTGAGCCCATCGACATAACCTTTATCGGTGAGAATGTTTCAATAATATCAGTTTCTATGGAATCGTTCGCTGTAGCGTTACTTGCTCATATGCTGCGAACAAATGATTCTATTTTTGATTTTTAAAAGTTCTACAAACAAGTTAATACATTTTCAATTTTATTATGTTACTGCTTCTGAAATATTCAAATTTTAGCGCCGAATAATAATTTTAATAAGTTATTAACAAAAAACATATTTAAACATCCAAAGTTATCTGAGAAATCATTAAAATTATACGACCCTTGTGTATGACCGTATTTATATTTCTCATTATGCATTATTATGCACTTCATGCACTCATTAACATGATATTGATATGTTGGTTGCACAAAGGAGAGTCATCCAAAGTGGACATATTGATTTTTTGAATAAAACATTTTTTTGAAATATATATATTCCACTTTTGAATATTTCATTTCAAAACTGAATGCAATTTTCATGTTTTCATGAGTCCTAAGAGGATTTTTTTGCCTGTGTATTTTATAATCACTCGTCGTTTTGACAATAGAATGACGTCGCGACGACTTGCGCCCTGCGCCCTTAAACCACCTAAAGGTGAAGGGTGAAACGCAATTGTAAAGAAATATTTTTTAGTGTAATGTTATCGTGAGGAATATGAATGAAGCCGAATCATTTCAATATTCAGGTATTATTGAAAATTTAAATTCAGTAGTAAATGCACGCTTTACTTTTAACAGCCTCTACTCTATAAATTCATTATTTTACTGTTTTCATAATCTTAGAACGAAAATCATAATTTATACAACCACTGCATTAGCTCGATAATTAATATTATTATCTTCATTTTGAAAAGTGTTTTACTACAAAATAGTTATGGAAAACCAAAATTGAAGGTGTCAGTTTTGTAATTTCACTATATCCAATACACCGTTTCAATCGTATTTATCTGGTAACAAACAGATAATGTTGAAACGTCTGAGTGCTTTTCAGAATCAGCCATCAAGTAGTCTACCTCAAGGCTCGATTCTAGGGCTTACTTTATTTTTCTTATATATAAATGACATAGTTCTTAAATTACAAGAGCCACGATCACACTCTTTGCTAATACTTACTCATTATAGTAATATTGTTCTTCATGAGGCCATTTCCAAATACATTAACAAAAAAGCAAAGAATGTCATTAAAGCCAACATACTTGGTAACGTAGTCATATACAAGTTTAAGGATTATACAATAAACTTGAGTAAGAAGCTTACCTCATGTCTTTACTTCATTCGGCTATTTCCAATCAACAAGAGCAAGTATTATTATGAAGAAGTATTATTCCTCTTTTGTTACTCCCATTTCGATAATACTCTTAGTCCAGAAAGAAATATTAAACTCCCTACATAGGGACTTGATCATATTCATTGAAATTGAACTGTTTGATCAAGATGAACAATATATTCAGAAACACTGTTGCTACTCGTTGATAATAAGGCCTATTACCTATATAGTTCAGTGAAGTGAATTTCAATGTTTTTGTTTACTATTTACTGTCTCTGCTGATATATCCATGCTATATGTGATTAATTATTTTGCAATGATTCAGGCAATTCATTAAACGATAACACGCTATTTCAACAATTTTGAGAAACCTATGAAATTTTTGATCTACTCACAATATTATTTTGGTATACAGANATCAAAAAAAATATATCATTCAAATAGTATTATTTGTATTTTTTTCTATTAAAATACTTATGTACTTTCAGGTAATCCTTCTGTTTGTGTTATCTCTGATACCATGGCCAGGACCGACAGTTTTCAAGATATCCTGCCCCAGAGATAATGCCCGGGTAGTAAGAAAAATAGTTCAAACTAAATGGTTACCTGTACTAGACAAATTCAAACTTAGCTTACCATTAGAATGCCCTTTTCATCCGATGAGGGACATTTTTGGGCCCCAACAAGCTGCTAAAAAGCAGCATAGACCTTCTCAATGGACTTGTGGACTTTGTGGAAAATCATTTTTTGAAGAGAAATATTTGGATATGCATTTCGACAATCGACACAAGGGATATATAAATATGGTAATAATTAAAAATACCAACAACTGGATTCTTTGGGATAGATGTAAGAACATAGGCTTTCACAGCCATTGTCGACAGGAACTTGAACTACCACGCGTTTTGTCTGCTACTGCGGCAGACTGACGACTGACTGGAGAGCTCTGTATTTATGTATTTATAACTTAAGAGGGAGGTGGGGGTGATAGTGGGGATGGTGGTGGGGTGTGCATGTGAATGCTCATTTCTGGTTGATATGCTGCTGGTGGGATGTCAATCAGTGTTGTATTCTATACCATTTCTGAGCTTTTTAAGTACTGGAAACCATATTCTGTTGACCTACTGTTGGGATGTTCATAGATCTATAAGAATACCAACAATTTCAACAGAAGGTATACAGGTAAACACAATGTTCATATCCAGTACTCAAGAAGGCCAGAAATTGACTAGAATACATCTCCGGTCAACATCCCACCAACATTTTGGTGATGTTTTTGATTTTCTCCTCTTTCTACACTTTTCGGCAGGACTTGATTATTTTCACTGTATTTGTATCTTTCAAATTGATATAAATTGTGATAAATATATAAGGTTACAAATGTATGTTAGAAATTTACTACTTCAATAAATATATGTATTATAGTTACATCACATTTCCTGATGATGCCATTCAGTTAAGGGAACGTGAGTCGACAATAGTGTTAATACAGTTCTGGTGATTAGATGATTTTTCCTTTAGATGCGGTTGGCATTGGAGTGAATCCATTTGCCACAGATTTTTGTAATAGTAGGTGATTACATATCATTTCACTGTCTCATTATATTGATTTATTGGAATCAAAGTTCAACTTCAATAAGGTTGAATTTATTTTACGAGGCTAACGTAAGGTTCTATTTTTGTGATCTTCATTTTAGGCTGAAGACGCTGTGTGCCTTGCAGACTACTGTGACATCATGCGATGTGATGTACTGATGACCCAGGATTTGAAAACTGTCCTACCTGAACACGAAAATACTGACATTGAAATATGGCGAGAAGCTTCTTCTTATTCTAAAGCTTTAGCTACCTCGGGGCCAAGAGATGTAGCCAAATATACACTGAGAAGTGGAAATTATCCTCACTTGCAAAAAACATCGAAAACCAATGGAAAACTGAAAAAACATTGCCAAAAAAAGGATGCACCAGATACATCAAAGAGTAGTGGTAAGAAAAAATTCCTTCTGAATTAAAAAAAACTGGAAATTTCAGTCTAAAGTGAAAAATAAATAAATTTCCTTTTTTGAAGTTCCCATCTTCTATGATGCTGAACAAGTGATGCTTTTTTAAATTCAAATATTAATTTTAATGAAACTACAGCAAGCGCCAAACGTGATGGCGAGCCCGCGCACACTAATTTTCAATGTAACCTCCACTACAGCTCTTGCAATATATACAAATTCTCTGTACAGAGGTGTATATTATTACTTGTTCTCCAATGCTGTTGACGTTTGGCATTGTGTGAATAATTTGTGTTGTCTCTGAAAAAAATGCCATCGCCTAACAAAAAAACAGTCACCAAGAGTGTATCATTATATAACATTTTAATGAACTGTACTACTATAACACTAAATAAAATATACAAAGAAGTCATGGTCCATTTGCTACCCTAATTAAAAGTAATTATAGGTACGACACTGGCCGGCAAGATGCTTATCGTAATCCAATAGTAATTTAGTTGGGAGAGTCTATACCTGCGCGACAGCTCGCCATCACGTTTGGCGCTTGCTTTTTTTATACATATATTCATAATGTGACTAGATTGAATATGAATCCAAAAGGTTGGATAAAAAACAATTTTTTATTGAAAATATGCACTTTTTTTAAACACATCACATTTTAATGTCGCATAAAAGTATATTACAATTGGCAATTCTAGACGAATGATATTATTGAATATGCGTTTCCCTTCAAAATGGAAGAATTGAATACCATGGCATCATATTGGATGGATACTCCAAATGGGATACTTCAGGATTTGTGGAATACCGAAAAAATGGAGAACAAAGAAGTATCATTGCACATCATAGTGCTACATCGACTACGTCAGTTTGAAAAATTTCGAGAAGAAATGAATTTAGGCCTTACAATATTAGAAAAATCCACCATAATAAGATAAGACAATATTCTGTAGATGGCTACTCAGACAACATCGTCTGGATAATGAAATCTGTAATGAAATTCCATGGCGTTATGAGAGTGAATTCATTATCACCGGCCATCAAGAAAACTCCTTTCTACATAGAGCTACAAATTCCCAAGAGAGATTTGGAGTTAATGTTTGGCTTGATGTGCTAGACACCAAGATTGAAGGTCTCTACTTTTTTGAGACAACTTTGACGGAAGTATTGTATTTGGAATTTTTATCGGAGACTATAGTTGAGTTGTTCGAAGATTTGCCTCTGAATATTCTGAGAAAATATCAGTATTTCCAACATGATGAAGCTCCGCCACATCGCAAAACTATTTGCAGAACTTTTCTCAATACGACTATGGTAGGACGATGGAAATAAAACATTGGTCCTATCAAATGGTCATCACGTTCACCTGACCTGACCCTTCTTTGGGGTTCCAATAATAAAGACAAGGTATTCAGCTCAACTTTTGGCAATATTGACGAATTGAAAAAAACAATAAAAAAAGCTTAAATTATGGAAAACTGCCATGAAAATACTATTACAAGAGCAAATATGTGTTTGAGGAACGACGGACGGCAATTTGGACATTTGATAGGATATCGTAAACAACATAGATGATTAGTAGTATTTTGAGATTTTTTTTGTTTGATTGTTACTTGGTATATTACATGTTCTTCTGATATGTGTATGTATAACATTGAGTTCTAGACTCAAAAAATATTGGTCACTACTTTTTTGAGGTACGGTCATATAGTGATTACCACCTAAAAAAAGGCATATGCAAGGATATTTTATCTAATTGATACTAAAATACTCTATCAATTAAGCTAGAGACATGATTCAAAACCACTGTTCTTACGATGCATTCCAAGTTACTTGTCCCAATGACAAATAATTATTCCCTGTTGAAAAAATGTAGGTTTCACCAGTACTTTGACCCGCATTGTATTATTCTATCATCAATAAATATTTTCAAAAATTCATGAAATAATAACCAAAATAATATTCAGGTGAAGGAGAACCTGATGACGACAAATCGCAAAACACATCTAAAAATGTTTGTCAGAACGACTTAGTAGATTCAGCTTTACCATCTCCTGACAACCGACAACAACGAATAGCAGAACTGCAGAAGCTGAAGGCTAATTGCAAGCCTGAGGAACTCCAAAAAATCAAAACGAAATGCGAAGTGTTAGTAAGAGACTGTATTGCCGGATTGCTGATACAACTGTCTGTGAAAGATTTCAAAGAAGTCGAAGGTTGGAAATGAAATGTTAAAGTGCTCTATACTTTCCATTGTTTCATGTTTGTATTTCAGATGAACTGAATAGAGCTGTCTGTTGGTACCTTACTTGTGACAGATATTGGGAAGACTCGCAAGCTGACATCAGAAGTTTTCCATGGGGTCTTGTATGTATGATTATAATGGTTATGTCACTGGGAATATGCCTTTGCTATTATATAATATGGGTGCTATTTGAGTGAGTATTAAAAACAGACATTTTTACTAATTTCTATATCACGTAAATCAATGCTACTAAAAACCTTTCGAACTGTTTTCAGATCAATTCAATCTGTAACATACCATTTGACGACTGGCATCTATCCATAAGATAACTGAAATTGGTTACAACACTTTTCTTTGACCCCTCAAAAGCTTTCGAAAAACTATTTCGAATTTTTCAAGTATAGGAAAGGCGCCGTTTTTACAGCGAAGCAAGTCCACAAGAAGTAACATTGGGTCTTTCACATGGGTCTGATCTCTGTTATTTCTCAACCAAATAAGCGACTTGCGCCAGAGTTTAGAGTGTCTCTAATGCCTAGGCGACATAAAATAGATTTATCTCTCATGTAAAATACACATTTCATGATGTCGACAAAATAAACTTTCTCCAAGTCTGTAGCATCTTCCGGGAGAAGGAAAAAATATTAAGAACAGATAGTTGTTGGTTCATAGATAGATTGAAAACACCTTCAGGTTCTAGTGCAGGTGTTTTCAGTTGCAGACCCAGGACAGATATATTAACTTGCCTAGGAACCTATGCAACTGTATTTCAAGCGGAAACTTATGCTATTGAATCGTAAGCGGAGAGATTGGAAGAATTCAACCTCATACACAAGTCAATAAAAATATTCTCGGACAGTCAAGCGGCGTTGGAAGCTGTTGGCTACTACCAAGCAACATCTAAATTGGTAGCAAAGTGTCAAAAATGACTCTCTTCGATATGAAAACTCAACAGATTGTCTCTGGTCTGGTATCCTGGCCATACTGTCCTGAAAGGCAATGAGGCTGCTGCCCCCCTTGCAAAGGAGGGTGCTGCAGGCAGCTTCATCGGACCAGAACCTGTCATTGGCATCGCTTTAGGCTTTGCCAAACATTGAACACCTGAATGGCAAGATTTATGGACTTCTGGCAGAATCTTCCAGGATTGGCTCACTCCAAGGCGTTTATTCATCCTTTGAAGCTTGATACCAAACAGTTGTAGGACTACAGTAGGGTTGAACTACGATGTCAAACAGGCCTGTTTCTCACAGGTCAATGTCATCTGAATCATCATATGCAGAGACTCGGACTGTCGGAAGACAGTGTGTGTCGCATCTGTTTGGAAAATGATGAAACAGCAGAGCACATACTTTGTGTCTGCCCCGCTGGGGACAGAATCAGGTTTTCAGAGTTTGGCAGAGCCACACTCTTACCATCTGACCTGAAAGACCACTCACCATGCAAACTAATCCGCTTCGTTAAGAAGCTGGGTTTTTTTGGTTGAGTGTGAATAGGTGTGAGCCACAATAAACCTTTGCGGGTTGCGGCGGAGGGTCGAATAAACCCACTCACTTTACTTTGACATGGTTTACTTATTTAACACGTCAGTTCTTCAAAAAAATAAACTTGAGTCTTATTCTTTATTACACATTAACATTTTTTGAAAATATTAAAAAATTATAGGTTGAAAGGGATATATTTTTAGGACAGATTAATTTTTGGGAAAGGGAGGTTTCAGCTTCTTCCAAGGAAGAAAGGAATTAATTTCAAAATGAAATCGGTACAAAGATGTGTATTTTCATGCAAAGAAGTTACTTTCAGACACAAATCAGAAGATATAAAGCCCTCTCGAAACAACTACTTTAATATAAACATTGAATCACACGAAAGAAAAATACTTTGGAAACAAATAGTTTCATATGAACATTGGAGTATACTAAAAAAAATTTCCCCATCCATTTCGTACTGAATCACACAGGATTGATACAGAATATAGTATGACAGAGATGAAATTTCACTTACATGGGACACTGTCATCCTCAATGGCGGACATCGATGTTTCGGGATAAGATACTTGCTAATTGCCTCTTCAGCACCAATCTGGGTAACATTAAATATACTACATTTTGTAGCAATCTTGTGAATGATATCTCATTCAGTTCAATATATGCATATTCCTGATTGTAATTCTTTGTTAGCAACATATTCTAACCCCTAGAAGTAAAAATGTTTTCAGTACGGATGATGTCAGCGTGACGAGCACCAGCATAACAGACAGATCTACCCCGTCTCCTGCACATGCTCTTCGACATGATCTGTCAGCAGTCGATGGAAATCAAATATATAGCGAGGATTATTTTTTGGCGCAAGATAAAGAAAATGAATATATTTATGTTACGTATCCTCCAGATTTAAAGAGGAGACTGTTAGAAAGGTTTGTTTTAGTAGTATTCTTTCCATTCTATTTTCATCAACTTGAAACCTAATTCCTCAATCAGAAAGTATAAACCGAGCAGTCAACTTGGTAAGAGAAAAAAAATCGAAATTGGAAAAGGTTGCAGTAAGTGTTTAATGACTGGTTCATAAGGCAAACACTTGATTTTATTTTAGGAAAGTTGGCACAATGTAAATCTGTTGAAGCATTTTTACACTATACTCAAGTGGTTACTGAACTTTTACTTCAAGAAAGTTGTCACACTTTAAATCAATATAAGCATTCACATACCACACTTGAGTATTGCATATGAACTTTCCCATTTATTTACATTGTGACAAGTGAAAGTATTTGGTTTATGAAGGAGTTATAAGCAAAAAAAATCTGATACCATTCAAGTTAACCCAATAATTTACCATATACTTCAATTATTATTACCAGTTATCAATAAATAACAGAGTTATTTATATTTATTATTATAACTGCAGATATTGATCGTTTTCTCTTCTCCACTGGAAAATTGATAGCAACTTCATAGGTTGCAAACAACTAGTAATAATTGAATTAAATGGCAAATCGTTTGGTAAAGTAGAATGCAGATTTTTTTGCTTATAACACGTTCAAAAAGCAAATACTTTTACTTTAAGCGAGCTGTCACAACATAAATCAATGGGAATGTTCATGCACTACTTAACTATGGTGCATATTTTCATATTACCAAGTTATCAAAGCTTGGCAAGACCGCATTTGTAAGCGAAACGTCTATATACCGTCTCTAGAGATGCCATCAGGTCACGATCTTCAAGGCCCGTTAATGTTTCTTTTGTCAATCGTTGAATTTCAAGCTATATTTGAAACACAATCAAAAACAACTCACAATACACATACATTGTTTGTGTTGAAATCACAATAAATTACTGAAAGGATTTTATATTTCATCATCAAACATATGAACTCTGTATGTTCATAAATACAGTGTGGTCCAACGAAAACTTAACACCTCGAGTTTCCGGCGTTAACATGAAAATGTGGAAAATCGCTCGAACCCGTCAATTTCTGATTCGAGGGGGAACAACTGTTCCACTGTTTTCATCCCCGTGACTTCAACCCCCTAACGGGGGTGAGCACAACCCCTTGATTTTGAATAGGGATGAGGGGTGTTGAGATACCTCATTTTGAAGATCTTATCGTGTACTATCTGACCGTAAAATTTCGCTCCAAAATATCCATCGATAACGACATGACAGGTAAAAGAGTGGAAGAGTACGTACTTTTGTGATTACTTTATTAAATGTTCGAAATGGGCACCATCCACTTCCATGCAGTAATATAAGTTTTGCTGAAAACGTTCACGTACATTACTCAAGATGTCTGGTGTAATTTGACGGCATTCATTAATGATCCGAGTTCGCAAATCATCCAGTGACTCAGGCTGGGTAGCGTAAATCTTGGATTTCAGGTGACCCCATAGAAAAAAGTCCAGTGGAGCCAGATCCGGTGATCTGGGTGGCCACTCAATATGTCCCCTTCTTCCAATCCAGGCGTGAGGAAAATTGTCATCTAAAAACTGACGCACCGGTTGAACAAAGTGAGGTGGTGCGCCATCTTGTTGGAAAATGATCGTTTGATGGTCTTCTGCATTCTCCAATACTTGCACGAGGGCTGGATAAATAGCGTTCTCCAATAGATCGAGATAAAGTTGGCCTGTGAGATTACCGGGTAGAAAAAAAGGGCCGATTATGTGATTTCCATAAATACCCGCCCAAACATTTAATTTTTGGGGGCGCTGTGTATACACCTCACGAAATAATCGTGGATTTTCATCTGACCAATACCGACAGTTATGCCGGTTTACAATGCCGTTAAGGTAAAATGAACACTCGTCCGAAAAACAGATATCGAACATGTAGTTTTGATTGCAGTTAATTATTTCACTGATCACTTCACAGAACTGGAGTCGGCGATCGGGATCATCCTCATTCAGTTCCTGAACCAATCGTATCTTATACGGATGGAATTTATGTTGTTTCAGGATTCTCATGATTGTTGTGCGTGAAACACCAGATACCTCGGACAATTTCCTAGTACTAACGGTCGGATCCATTGCTATATGACCTAAGACAGCCACGTCCCTCGCTTCGTCTCTTTCATGCACCCTCTTTTTGTTTCCAACTGACCCAGTAGCGTCAAATTTGGCAACCAGTTGCACAACGTAAGCAGCGGATACATTTTTTCCAGGATGTCGTTCGTTAAATAAAGCCGCTGTTGTGCGCGCAGAGTCGTTATTTCGGAAAAATAATTTTATCATTTCCACCCTTTCTTCTACGGAATACACCATTTTAATTCCACTACAAATTTACAATCGCTTGTACACACTTGTACCGTTCTTAACAATTCACGATAGACTAAGGTACAAAAACAAGGTCCGTCTACTTTTTTGGACAAAAAATTAACCACTCANTACAGCCATTCTTTTTAATTTTTATTTGTTATTTTAGAGATTTCAAATCATAAATTAGACAACTGAAGTCGGAACTGATGAAATTGATCAATCTATGTTGGCAAAAGTGCACAGCATCAAATGGCGCTCATTTAGATTGAATTGAATTTATATTCACTGAGATATTACAATTTAAAATAGACTCATAAATATGCCAAAACTTTTGTAACAACCTGATATTGATTATTATCTAGAAATATAGGTTGGTAAGTCGCCTAATCTTAAGTATGATTTGGTATTCAGAGAATTCATTCGTTGAAAATCAATAAATATTATCATAAGTTGATTATGTCATTAGACAGTATTTTTAATTTGTCACAATACAGTGTGTAGTTTATACAATGCCAAGGGCATAAAAACTAAATAGTTACCGAACGTCGGCACTTTCTTTGTATGACTCATACAACATAAATATCGATTTTTGGATTGAAGTTTCCCAGTCTTTTATTTCTAGAATCAACCAACTATTTTATTCTACTCACCAATTTAAGCAACAGCTTCTTTCACCGGTGCTCAATCCACAAAGTAGAAGAAACACAAACACTTTGGGATGTTTAGGTATTTATTACTCAACGTTCAATTTGGCTTTACAAATTTTCAACTCATTTCGGATAAGTTCGAACGATTTCATAAACTAACTACTGCAAATGTACACTAATTTCCCTGTCTCTAGCGGTTTGTCAAAATAATAAAAACAAACCACCATACCGTGTGCTCCGTGAAGAATATTCCACAGATGAATCCTCGTCGTTCAGCCGGAATTACGATGATATCCTATAACAATCGGGATTACTACAGGCACTCGGTCTCCATTCAGCACCATTCACTCAAAAAACAAAAAATAATGTTCTGTGAACTTAAAATATAAAAACAGGAAAGTGGAAGCGGAAAGAGGAGAGGTGAAAATACACACAGCCATTCGTTCGCCAACCACAAAAATTAAAAGAAGCCCTGAAAAATCTAAAAAAATTTAGGAAAATGTCAGCGTCTTCTAAATGGTGCTCTTCTGACATCTCTCATACGCCCTCGCGTTTCTTCTATTCGTCTCTTGTGTTGCTCCATGCGCACCAGCCGTTGCTGCTGCTTTGTTGCGATCTGCAATAAAAATGTATGTTTGAAATGATGAAGTTCACTCACGATTGAAAAGTGAACGAGTTGATTTACTTTATAATGGGGAACATCTAAAAATTTTTTCTCAATACATCATCTAAATTTATATTCGGATCACCAGTTAATATTATAACGGTGGTTTGTAAGATCACTGAACTTGACTAGATAATTTTTTTTNGGACGTGGCTGTCTTAGGTCATATAGCAATGGATCCGACCGTTAGTACTAGGAAATTGTCCGAGGTATCTGGTGTTTCACGCACAACAATCATGAGAATCCTGAAACAACATAAATTCCATCCGTATAAGATACGATTGGTTCAGGAACTGAATGAGGATGATCCCGATCGCCGACTCCAGTTCTGTGAAGTGATCAGTGAAATAATTAACTGCAATCAAAACTACATGTTCGATATCTGTTTTTCGGACGAGTGTTCATTTTACCTTAACGGCATTGTAAACCGGCATAACTGTCGGTATTGGTCAGATGAAAATCCACGATTATTTCGTGAGGTGTATACACAGCGCCCCCAAAAATTAAATGTTTGGGCGGGTATTTATGGAAATCACATAATCGGCCCTTTTTTTCTACCCGGTAATCTCACAGGCCAACTTTATCTCGATCTATTGGAGAACGCTATTTATCCAGCCCTCGTGCAAGTATTGGAGAATGCAGAAGACCATCAAACGATCATTTTCCAACAAGATGGCGCACCACCTCACTTTGTTCAACCGGTGCGTCAGTTTTTAGATGACAATTTTCCTCACGCCTGGATTGGAAGAAGGGGACATATTGAGTGGCCACCCAGATCACCGGATCTGGCTCCACTGGACTTTTTTCTATGGGGTCACCTGAAATCCAAGATTTACGCTACCCAGCCTGAGTCACTGGATGATTTGCGAACTCGGATCATTAATGAATGCCGTCAAATTACACCAGACATCTTGAGTAATGTACGTGAACGTTTTCAGCAAAACTTATATTACTGCATGGAAGTGGATGGTGCCCATTTCGAACATTTAATAAAGTAATCACAAAAGTACGTACTCTTCCACTCTTTTACCTGTCATGTCGTTATCGATGGATATTTTGGAGCGAAATTTTACGGTCAGATAGTACACGATAAGATCTTCAAAATGAGGTATCTCAACACCCCTCATCCCTATTCAAAATCAAGGGGTTGTGCTCACCCCCGTTAGGGGGTTGAAGTCACGGGGATGAAAACAGTGGAACAGTTGTTCCCCCTCGAATCAGAAATTGACGGGTTCGAGCGATTTTCCACATTTTCATGTTAACGCCGGAAACTCGAGGTGTTAAGTTTTCGTTGGACCACACTGTATATGTTTTTTATAATATATATTTTATCAATTGGTTTATGCCCACCCTGAACAAGTAAGAATGTTTGGAAAGTAGCTGAAATAGATTAGTTATTTTTGTCAATATAATTAAAGTTTATTTTTCTAGCTGCTACAATCGAACTACCCGCTTGTGAGAATAGAGAAAAACCAATAGTTAGAAGACTATTTTTCACTAGAATTTCCTGTCGAATTTCATACCGAATTTTTCATATTCGTAGTAGAGTAGGCTCAATGTTAGTAAAAAACTCAGTTTTGCCAAATTTTTTACATAGACCAACTAGGTAACAGGGTCAAAAGTGAGATGAAATACCTTTTTTAATGTTGAAATTTTTCATTTGCAAAAAATAAAATTCATTAATAGTCGAAGAAGAGATTTTTCTTTAGTTGCTAATACATGTTTGTTGAATACCATAATAACAGTTATGGAAAATATTCATTTCTATAATTGTATTTTTCTGATAATACGTCTGATCATTTCACTTCTGAACCTACAATAACTTTTAGCAAATATTGATAATTTATGCTACTACTTTTGTATGATTTGAAATGATAGACTACATTTCGTTCATTAGAATAAGTGCTGATTTTTTATTATTTCATAG